CACTCCTGCCCTCGTAGCGCAGTTGTAGCGTCTGTTAAAACAAAGTTTGAGCTGCATGCAGAGGGACTTGAGCACATGACGAAATTGTAACACCAAAAGTATAACAATTGCAAAATACTTGAAAAAATCCAATATATCTATCAGTGTTGTAAATCGACACCAAAGGGCACCTTATTTTCTTAAAAACTGCAATATTTGAGGCCCTGAGATTTGAGAACGGCTTGCTGCAGTGTTTGTCTCCGGGCATGATCAGGCAGGATTCCAACTACTGTACGTCAAGACAAACAAGTCTTGCTTCTACAATGAGTAACACGCTGTTTGCAAACACGCATGAGATCTTGCATTCCTGCGTTTGGTATGCTTACATAATGAGCTCAGTGGATTCTTGTCTCTGAGGTGTTGCCCTTTTGCTATTACAAGTCACACACTTTCACACAAACATACACAGTTGTTTTTTTTTTTTGTCAGTTTCTTATAACCTGCAGCCACAATATGGGCGATAGAGTGTGATAAAGCTGTCAGAAGTCTGTCAGCTAGTTCCTTCACTTTTCCAGAGTCCACGTTTTGTTAAACAAGAGATTGATCATTGCTCAACTATTTTCTCGGTTGAACATCAGGTAGTTTCCCTGCTTTAAATAAACTGCTGGGAGCATTTCCTGATCTGACAGATGTGAAAAAAAAGCTCTCTCAACATTAATACCTGCCAACTTTTACAGCGGGAATTTACATTTCTGAGGCAAAACTTGTTGAGGAACCACAAACAAGTGCAGCCTTTGAAAATTGTGTCCCTTCTAAAGAAGAGGCACTCTCGGCGCTATAATAACTACCACAAAAAAACACACCAAGTGCCCTTTACAATGTAGGCAACAAATGAAAAATCAATTCTGCGAGGGCCAGTAGTGTGGAGGAGACAGAGAGGAGCACCGGCGATAACCCAACTCATGCGCTGGAGATCAATATCCTCTTTTTATTATTAGAATTGCTCTCTCATTTTTTATTCCCCTCCTCTGTCACACCCGCTGTCTAATAGCTTTTTTTTTTTTTTTCCCTTTCTTGCTCAATCCACTCCTCGCTCTCTGATTGAATCTGTTTCTGTCTCATTTCTCACTCTGTCTGAACCTTCTAATCTTTACAAGCAGAGGACACGAGACGTTTTCAGCAGCCGCCCCCTAATTCAGCCGGAGTGAACAAGTGCACGGCTAATGATTATTTCTCCACCACCGAGCTGGTGCTCCTTCTTTCTTTCCTTCTTTCTAAGATGACAGACCCTCATATGGACGAATCCTCAGATAAAGACGGTGGACAAATAAGCGGCTCTGCATGTCAATGACCATCTAATGCTCAAACCATGCAGAAATTTTTATTGTAGACTCAACACATTGCAGTTTAGGGAAGTTTCATACCAGAGATGGGGATTGAAACCCTGTCAGATCAGCCCAGGAAGCTCTGCATGTCTAAATACGAAAGTTCAGCTGCACAGATGGGTGTTTCCTTTCCTTAGTTTGCAGCTAAAAAGCATCTGTGTCATCAGCCCACAAAGGCATACCTCAACCACAGTATTTTGACTGCTAAATGGTTACAGGCCGTATGAAGGGCTTTCGCATGTGTCCGCGTTCTAAAAGAAAACCCCACCTAGAAGTGAGAAGCCACAGCTTCCTAAACATGAGCTGAGACATGAGAAAAATACAAGCGTTGAAGACTGCGATGCTTTTAAACTGTTACGTATGCTGCTGTCGTTATATTTTGGTGACAGCAACCACTGTAGAAACTAAAAATTCTAATCTGTCTCATTGCTGCTATCCCCACCTCCACCAAAGTCCCCCTCTGACTAATACAGTAGAAACTGCATCAAAAGGGAAAATAATTACATTCCACTCCTCCATTTCGCTCAGTTCCAGATCAATGACCGAACAAATACTCTGCGCAACAACAGCACATTTCCATTTTTATAATAGAATCCCACTCGATCCAGAGCAATCTTGACAAACGCTCCTTGGTAGTCGCATCACAGTTCCAGACTCAATCTTCGCTCTCGTTCCCTGAGGTGCGGGTCTCACATGGGCAGGGGTGTCAAACAGGGCACGCGGGGTAATTGTAAAACCAGGGGTGCACAGCCAAACACTCCACTGTTTGCCTTCCAATGACGGGGATGGGCTCCTTGCTTGTTAAAGCCTAAGTGACTGTGAAATGTGTGTAGTCGGCTAAACGACGTCTTGACAGGCTATGATGAAACTCAGTCAAAACAGAGCGCGATTAAGCTTTATCCCTTCAGCAGCGGGACCTTTGGGCCCGGCACAGCGGCGGCGGCGGCATCGCCAGGTTCTCGATCAGACCGGACACCTTATGACCAGCTTTAATGAGCGCAGAAGTACAGGCAGCTGTTCAGCCACACAGGCCCTGAATACAGAGCGGTTTCATGCAAATGACTTTCTGCAAAGTCATTTTAACACTTCAAATGATTCAGAATCCCAGTTTCAGCTTAGGTTTACTATTTCTGAAAGCATCAGTATTTTTTGTGTTTACACAGGACAAGGCTGACACATTAACTACAGGTAGGACTTACACTAATCAGCCAAAACATTAAAACCACTGTCGAAACGTCGATCATCTCATTCCAATGCAGTGTTCTGCTGAGAAACCTTAGAACCTGCCATTCATTTGGATCTTACTTTGACACCGTCTGGCAATGAAACTCCCCAATGGCAGGACTGTGCACCCCACTACACCTGGAAAACTGCTAAGAAATTGCTCGAGGAACACAACCAAGAACCAAGGGTGTTGACCCAGCCTCCAAACTCCCCAGATCCCAATCTGATCGAGCATCCCCAGAGCAAGCCAGATCCACGGAGGCCTCATTTCATCCTGCAACCC